ATGTCCAACTTGAATTCCTACCTCTGGTTCTGACACTTTTCTTACCCTTTGAGAAGGTGTGTTCTATTGCTTTGTGCTGTTTGAGGCCTAAACAAAGGAAGCTGACTGTAGATACAGTGTTATCAGTAATACAAATTGCAAGAAAATCCATCTTTTTCTGGTCTGTTTAATCTTTCAGGTTTTGTCATCCAAAATATTACAAATGACAATGATGACTTTAAGAAATGAGCATTTTTAGGTGTCCTTTGTATTCTTTGGGACTGATATTTCAGGTGGTTGTAAAAGGACCGTTGAGCCTTTCAGGTCTAGGTCATCTGTTTAATTATACTACAGGTAACTGTATCTGCTACCATATAGCTGGAGCTGGTAATATATCAATCCAGTTTAGGTAGGTGCCCATGTGACACCTGAGACCTAACACCTGCCCATGTGATACCCAAGATCTAACACCTTCCCAATCTAGACTGCCTTGAAAGCTGGATCTTTATACCACGGGTTTGTTGAAGTTAATTGAGAAACAGGATATAGAATATATGCATGTATTACAAAAGTAAAAAGAACTCTGCGTTTTCCAGTCTCATGTTTTATTTTGAAATTTTAGCTCATTCTTGAGATCATACTTCTATTAATTACTGACACTAATGCAGTGTAACTGTTTGCTTCCAAAGATTAGCCCTTCATACCCAACTTTAAATTACCATATTTCCTTGAAACCAAGATGGGAGGAGAGGAAATGCCCTATTGTGTGTGATGAAGACCCTTGTCTTGGATTCAAGTACTGGGTGGTGGGGAGGGCAGGCAGCTGCTGCAGCAGTTCCAGCCTGGGTCCCAAAGCCTAGGCTGGAGCTGCTATTGCTACCACAGCTACTGGGCCAGGCTGAGCCTGGAGCAACCATGTGCTCTATGCCCAGGGCCAGGGTAGGGCTAGAACCATGCCAGAGCTGGAAGGTAAGCAATTGAGAGGGGGAAAGGGGGCAGGTGACGGAGGGGCAAATGTGGTAAGGGGGTTCAAGGCAGCTAGGGGGCAGGCACTGAGGGAAGGGCTGGTGCCAGGGGTTGCAGCATTTGGTGGAGCAAATGGTAGTGAGGGTAGGCAGCAGGGGAAGGCAAATAGTGGTGTGGACAGGTAGCAGGGAGCAACGTGGAGGGTGGGGGTGGGCATGGGTCAGGCTGCTTGATGTCCCCACACTGTCTCAACGATTTAAGTCAGTCATTTTCAGCCAGAGTGCTGTGAGATCCTTTCAAGGGTGCTGTGAGGTGTTAGTGCAGTGTTTTAGCATTGCTAGGTGTGCAAATATGAATTGCAAGATAAAACTCAGATCCTTTGAATAGGAATCTATAGTGTGAGCCATAGTGTTAAAAACATTCTGACCGGCTGTGGTCTTTCTAAGTTCTTTGCAGCAGGGGAATTGCTATATTATCTTTCTGAAGTCCAAATCCGAGTGAAAGCTAAAAGCTGGCATTTTCTGAGGGTTGTCTTGTGTCAGTTAAGGGGAGCCTTGAGTCCAAAAAGGTTGAGGATCACTGCTTCAGTGGGAAAGAATTAGTTCAAAATGAGAGACTCTCTTAGAGTCGGCTTCTGATAGCAGTTTCTGAGCTGCCAGGGTCTTACTGATGCAATTGACTTGTGTGGATGAGGCTAGAGAGTAGATACAGTAGAATCTTCCAAATATACTTTTTTAATTTGCATCTGATTTCTTAGTGAAGATTTAATAAGACTGTGGTGAAACTTTTATATTTTCTGCTTTAGAAATAGGACTGTTCCTGAAGTGGGATGCTTTATTAGACTTACTTATTACTTGATGTGCATCTTAAAAATGGCACTGAATTTTTTGGATACATTTTTGGAAGGGAAGAAGTTTACTATCTATTCCTTTTTTTTTTTTTTGGAAAGGAAGAGGTTATTATATAGTGTATTAGGTAAGTGTACAATTTGGTTAACTGCCTAGCATGGTGTCAGTTGCAATTTGTTATATATTGCTTAAAATATAACAAATATCAGTTTTCACCCTATCAGTTCATTGCATGAATGCTAAATTGCATCCTTCAGTCCCACTAACTACATTGCAATGCAGTTATACTCTGCTTAACTGTATAGAGATGGTGAATAGGAAGCAAATATCAAAGGACTGCTGATGGAAGTCTTGAAAATAACAGAAGTCAATCTCAGGACTGCCTCCACTCATTTCGGAGGCGTCTAATAGCGGTTGTGAAACTGTCCTATCTATTGTCATTTTCAAGACTTTCAGCAAACAGTTTCAGGGCTTCTACTGAAAGCCTTGAAATGACAGGAGATAGTTTTGGGATGCTAATATCATAGCACTAGCAAAGCTATGTAGTTTATCAGCATTGTGTACATCTAAATTTGGGTAAGAGCATTCTCCCCACCCCTACCCCACACACACACAAACACACACTTTTAAAATCCGAAGTTATTGACTTAAATAGAGTACGCTATCTTTTCTTGGCCCGTGTTGCAGTGATACTCGCACACGATGTTTCAGAACTGTGGAGAATTTCTTTTTCTCTGTTAAGGTATATCCTGGGCAAGGTAAAGGAAGCAGCTTTCTTTTTACAGAATTAAATTCCCCCCCACACACACACACACACACTCTGGTCCCCAAACTGTCTGGTTATGAGCACTTGGAAAATGTTAGGCAACAATTAATAAGAGGGGAAAGAACTCATTTTTGCCAGTGCTTTGTCTATGGAATCCACATCGTATGCGACTGACAAGTCATATGGAAGAAAGTCTGAAATGTCCAATGTTTGCTTGGCAGGCTTTTTTTTTTTCTTTTTAATGGCTAGAGGAAAGAAGAATGTCATTGGTACAGAGCAGATCAGTAAACAGTTGTTTCAGTAGAAAAATAGTTATGCAAGTGACCCATGCTAAGACCTCTGTGTGGACTGGGAATCAGACCTTTCTTTGAAAGATGTCTGAACTGCCTGCTCAAACTTGCCATTTATGGTAACCTCTGATAAAATAGACATGTTCTTTAGACCTTTTGTTTATTTGTAAGGTTATAACTACTACATTACAGCAGTTTTGAGCTGCTGTCCAATTGCTTAGTTGTTTTATTTTCCTTGGGTGGTGTTAGCTAATTAGGTTACAATGTTTAACCTTGGACAGTTGAAGTGGGGGCAGAGATTTCTTTCTCTACTTGTTTAATCCAGAGAAATATGTAGACTTAAATATAGTTTTAGGATGAGTTGAATAATGACCAGGAGGACCAGGTTGGATGCTTCAAAGATTCTAAAATAGAAACAAACTAGTATTGTTAAAATATGGATTGGACTTTTGTATGTTCAGAAGTCAGGAAGTAAAGTTCTGGTTACACAGCAGCTATCTGTGCCTCTTGCGCATTATCATGATATAATACTGTGTATGGTGGTAGTTTGTCTACCATAACAAGTAATATGGTGCTTAATTACCATTTTAGCAGGTAATGGGTTCTCCCTAGCTGCTTATCCTCCAAAAATGTCCACTTTATTTAGCACCCATAGTCCCTTCAGCCGTAAGCCACAGTTCATCCTGTTTCTTACTTTTATATATTTGGAATACTGCATAAGTGCAGATGTGACCTTTTCCTGACTTGAGTATGGGTGTCAGTTCAGTAACTGGCTGAATAAAGGGATTTTTTTAAATGGTTACAACTGATTGTGGGCCTCATGCATTATTGTGGCATGATAGGGCACCCACATGGTTCAGGTGCTGGTTGAAAAGATTGCTACTGAGTGTATTGCTTATCTAATTGCATGGCCAGCTTGATTTGTAAACCTGCTTTCTATGCCAGAAATCTTCTGTATTAAATTTAATGAGCAGTTTGATCCCTTGATCTCTGGAGCATCAAACACATTAGCTCTTACTGATCTGGTTAACTTCTAGTTTGGATTCATGATGTTTAATCTCCACCTTTAAGAGAAGACTAATATGGGAACAAGAATGGCTGACTAACGATTTCATGTCATTTTGTCTTCTCTTAAAATATGCATATTTTTCGCACACTTTTCCACTTACAGGTTCCTGATATAGCATCACAGAAATGGACACCATTTGTTTCTTAAAATCCCTAACATACTACCTATGTGGAAACACTTCCAAAAGAGTATAGTTTCAAATGTTGTAGGTGTTTAGGGTCTTTCAGACAGCCAGGTAGCAATCATTACAGAAAAGCAGTCAGTAAACCTGTAGTTGGTATTTTCTTTTTCAGGAATAAGTTTAATAGCATTGACTTTACATGCTTCGTTTAGCCCATGATGGAACACTTTACCTTCCCTGGACATTGCATCATTAGCCTCCGAGTAGCTGTCTTTTAAACAAAAAAAGCTTTAAAACCCAACTTGAACATGACATTACAGAACAAGAAATTATCCACAAGCTCCATATTGTATTAACCCTGATCTCAATTGGGGCTATTAATTCTTATCTCATTACCTGATCCCCCTGTTAACTCCACTGTCTCTCAAGCCAATAATCATTTTGTTAATTTCAATTGAACTAATTATCAACTACTTCCCTCTCTTAGTAGTGTCCTCTTCCCTGTCCATAAAATCCTTGTTTTCTAGGAGTTCATTCATAACATCTGAGTAAGTAGGTTGTTGCCAGTGAAAGCTCATGTCTTTCCCAGACCAGTTAGCTGTTTCTTTACACACTTTACACACAAGGTTTAAATGCCAATTAACTGAATTAGCCAAATTTGTTCAAGCCAGCATGTTAATTTGGATAATTCCCATTTACTTTATGTGGGACAATGGACTTGTCCATCTGAAAGGTCTGTGGTTTGCTATTGTCTGTTGTCTGGTTTTTTTAGCCTAAGGTGACAGCCTGCCCTACCTTATTGTTAATTTGGAAACATAAAGAGAGTTAATTTGCCTGGAGGGATAAAGAGTTTAATTGCCACTTGCTTTCAGATAGACTTGTCAGAGTGACTTAAGTGTGTTGCTTTTGTCTTTTTTATGCTAATTGTTCTTTTTTTTTTCTTTTTCTCCCTTGTAGGCTTTCAAGGAAATGCTGTATGCAGCTCAGGACCAGGCCCCTTCCATAGAAGGTAACACAGTTGTGAACATGAATCATGTTTTTATTAGCAGTTGGATGCTGAATGCTGGCACAACTTTCTCTTTTTAAATCATTTCAAACTGCCAGGTGAGACAAATTCATGTGGAGGTAGGAATCTGGTTGCTGAAATCTCTGCTTTTCTAGATCTCTGCAGCTTTTTCTACTGAATCATAGAACAATAAATGCATTTATATAGTCTGAGGCTTTTGCAGCTGCTATTAGCTTGTGTATAAGGATGTGAGATGCCAAAACTTCATCTACTGGGGACCGCCATACTGGAACAAAACGGTATTATCTTCAAAAGTAGCTAACATGTAGTGTGGCAAAATTGCAGTGGGAAACAACTATAATGCATTTGGCTAACTTCTGCAATATTGTCCTGTGAGAGAGTTATTTCTTGATTTGAGCTACTCGTTATTTTATGCCCTAAGCCATACATGAGAACATCTGACTCTGACCTCACAAACTTGAATGCTGCTTTGAGTACAGAATTAATGTTCAATTTAATAATTATTTGTTGTTTTCTTATTATTTTATTTTGCAACTCTTCGCTGCTGCTGAACTGCCTAGATTATGGAAAAATTCCTTCCCACTTTAAACCGGTTACATTTTAAATAGGCTTTTTTAAAAATCAGGTGGTACATAAAGTATGTACTGGGCTATATCCAGTAAATGTTTGCCATTTATATCCTGTTGAGAGGTACAGAACAATTTCTAGTCTTTGAATTGCTACAGTCATTCTTTTTGCCTTCTTTGTGACCTTCAACCTTTCTTTGCATTTAGGTGACTAAAATTGAATGCAGTATCAAAGGTGAGGATGTACTATTAGTTATTGTGGCACTTTGACACTAATCTCTGTGAATACAGTTTTTTTGGCTTCACCTTTTTTGGGTGTGCATATATACCAGGAAAATGACCTGCTGCTGCTAACATAATCAGATAGCTAGTTCCGATTGCTTGTTATAATGGTATAAATGGTCCCATCTGTGTTAGCAAGTAAACATATTACCCATTGATGGGCCTGGTGTTGCTAACAACTGGTCATTTTCCTAGAGTACACTGGGCCGTTGGTCACTGCTGTGTGTTGTTCACTGCTGCCAAATTATTTTTTTTCATTTTCTCCTTTCTAAGAAGACAGAATATGGGATAAATACCAGGTAGTCTTTACAAAAGGTCAGTGTGTGTGTGTGTGTGTGTGTGTGTGTGTGTGTGTTCCAAAGATATTTCCTACCAGTCAAAAGGCTCCCAAAAAGTATTCCTCAGCTTAGAATGTTCCTTTAAGTGTAACCAAGACCTGTGCCTGCTATACACACACAGACAGTTTAGTTAATGATAGCATTCTTTTTGTCAGATTCTTTTAAAATGAAACTTCTCATTTATTAAAAACCAAGTTCTTTTAAAACCTTGGTTTAACTTGATTTTTGTAGGTTAAGATTCCACAAGCACATAGTAAATTCTGTTTCCAGCTATGGTGTATAGTATCTGTTAGAGAGCAAGGAGATCCAATGTGTTAATGAGGCATATGTGATTGGCCTAGTATAGAAGAAGAACAGGAAAGCTACATTTATCACTTGGTATATTAGGAAATTAATAATAAGGAAAAATCTGCAAGGATGACTCCTCACTTAAGATAAAAATAGAAATCTATCTAGATGAATAGATAGATATGTATTTAGACATCTATATCTATATATAGAGATCTATAGAGATGTGTGTATGTATAGATATGTCAATATATCTATATATACTTCTGTTTTTATCTTACCTAGATATACTATTTAATGTATGTATGTATGTATATGTATTTTATATGTAATGTGTGTGTATCTCTCTCTCAATCTTTCTAGATATATCTATATATCTAGAGAGAGAGATTTCTGTTTTTATCGTAAGTGTGGAGTCATCCTTGCAGATATTTTTCCTTATTTTAAATTTCCTAATATGCCAAGTGATAAATGTAGCTTTTCTGTTCTTCTATACTAGGCCAATCCCATATGCCCCCACATTAACACATTGGATCTCCTTGCTCTCTAACAGGTACTATAAACCATAGCTGGAAACAGAATTTATTAAGTGCTTGTGGAATCTTAACCTACAAAAGTCAAGTTAAACCAAGGTTTTAAAAGAACTTGGTTTTTAATAAATGAGAAGTTTCATTTTAAAAGAACCTGACAAAAAAGAATGCTACTATTAACTAAACTGTCTGTGTGTATAGCAGGCACAGGTCTTTATTCCTCAGTTTAGAACGTTCCTTTAAGTGTAATCCTTTTTGGGAGCCTTTTGATTGGTAGGAAATATCTTTGGAATAGCGCACACGCAGGTATAGTTCTTAGGTGCAATTTGGCACTCAGCTGCTTACTTAACTCAGCCTACTAGTTTTGCTAAAACAAAGATACTTTTTCTGCGAAGGGGCAGTTTTTCCAGAACTGATTTTCTTGCAACCATATGGTTTTAGTTCAAGCATTACATGGAGTATGTGGTTTATTTTAGAAAATATGTTAACACCTTTACAGGCAAAGACATGAGCAAGTGAAGGTCCCATTTTCTCTTTCACTTGGTATGAAAAACTCTTGTATATGGTATAAAACCTTTGTAGCTGTACTGATCTAGAGCATTGAATAATGCTTTGGAACAGTTTGGGTTATGCAAGTTAACTTTAATCAGTGTTTTTAAATTTGGCTTCCTGATACTTGTAGAATTAAAGTGCTCACAGTTTCATAAGGGACTGGATGGCTCATGTGGTTAATGGGATTTTATATCCTTTCATCTTTAGAGAACTGACTTACAACTGGTTCATATCCACGTGCTAGCTTTTCTGGGTTATATTTTAGACAGTATTGATGGGAAATTGCTGTTGATACCATGTCTCTCATGTCCAAAGAAAATAACAGTTTACGTGACTCGGTAACACAGCTTCCACTTGTGTTCAGGTAGACTAAACTTAGGTAAAGGTGATGGGGGAAGAGGACTGTAGATGTCTTAATAGTACAGTGTGAATTGAGGAAAAATTGTGGTATTCCAAGTTAAGGCAGAAAATCAATCCTTGCTCCTTTGTCTGGGATTTTTGTTGTTTTTAACCAGTATCAGACTTAATATTTGTGCTACAGCATTAGTACAGACTTTGTTCTTTAAGACTTCAAAAAGATAATAAAATACAGTCTTAAAAGTTACTTTGTAAGGGATGGGAAAACATTGGTAGAAGCTCCTTGCATAATTCCAAACGTAATACATGAATTTTGAACTTCAACTCTGTCTAGAGAATATAATTTTTAGATATGTTGTCTTTTTCACATAACTATTATATGCAGCTACATACATTGTGTTTCAGCCTCTTGTGATGTCTTCTAAAACCTTTGCCAGACTCCTTAAGCAAAAGGGGATGTGATGACCTGATATTACCAATATATAAATCTAGGCAGAAGAAATTTTTGGCAAGCAAGGAACATCTTTTTCTCTATTACAGAGCGAGCAAGTGACAATGAGCATCCTTGCTTAGCAGTTCAACATTAGCTCTATCTTGCTAAAACTTTCTGCTTTAATTAGAAAAGAGTTTTATGTCAAAGATTCCAACTTCAGTATCGGGGCTGTTTAAACAAATATTTCATGTTGGCTTTTTTGGTTAGAGTTGTTCTTCTGATAGGTTGGTATGATTACCATTATATGAATGTTCTTCTGTTCACTTCTTTCTCCTTTTTCAGTCTATTCCCTCTTACTTTCATTTATTTTTTCCCTCCTTGCTGCTCTTAATATTTGTTGTTCTTCCAGTTCTTTACTGACTGCCACATCCCCAGAGGGTTTGCATTAGGAATAGAAGAGATTCAAGCTCAAGTTTTGGTCACTTTTGCTTTCATTTAAAACCTCTTATGGCACCATTCAGTTTGGATAACACTGGCTTAACTACTTGTATTTATTTCACATGTCTACAAGATCTCAACTTCAGTGAAGCAGTAGCAAAACCTGAGAATTTTTGTTCAAATCCTAGAGCTGTTGCATTTCACTTACCTGTTGAGGTGTTTAGATGGGAAAGTCTTTAAGATCATCTACAACTGAGTACAAATCCAAATATTAAAAATAAATAAATACGGTATGTACCAAATTTAGGCTCATTTACAGACACAAATAGCTTTCACTAGGTTTGTACGTAGGACTACCCCTTCACATAGTTTAGTTGTGGCCAAACACTGTTATCTTCTTATCTTCTAAATGACACTGACATAATTTAAAGTGTTACTTTTGTAGTGTTCGCTATTTTTAAAAAAAATTTAGAAGTAGCAGTGAAAACAGAACTTTAAATATGAGTAGTGATAGGTAGTTAAGATTAAAGAGCAGATGTTTCATAGTTATCCAGCTATACAGTGACACTAAAGGTTTGGTATAGGAGCAGTTGATCCCAATGTAAAAGGGGACAGGGCTTTACCACTAGGGGTGTGTGAAGTGGGCAGTATTCAATTCGGATTCAGATTCAGCCCGATTCGGGGGACAGTGATTTGATTTGCTGATTCAGATCATTGTCCTGATTTTGATTCTGCTGAATCTGAAGATTCGATTCTGATTCTGAGAATCAGCAATTTGGCCAGCGATTCGAACCCTGTGCCCCCCTGGCTCAGCGATCAGCTGCGGGGGGGACCCTGGGTGCCCCTACCAGACCCAGGAGGCCCCAGTTGCTGGGGCAGGGGGGTCCCCCGCATGCTCTGTGGTGGACCCAGAAGTGGACTGGACGTAATTCTGATCTACTTCAGGGTCTGCCGCTGAGCGTGTGGGGGGAACTCCCACGGGACTCTCCATCTGCTCTACCATCTCAACATTCACGAGCCATGGCTGGTACCTTGAGGAGCATAGAAAAAACATATAAAGCTGTGCCTGTGGCCGAATCATTGAATCTCTCTGAATCGAATTGGAGGCCTGCGATTCAATTCAGAGAGATTAACAGGTCTCCTGATTTCGATTTGGATTCGGAGATTTGGCTGCCAAATTGGGCCAAATCTCCTCCAA